TCAATTATATATTTAATTTTAAACATGAATATAATACTATCTGCGATGTCAGTTGCAATAATAATTTGCTGATCCTTGCTATTGACTATATTTCTAAGTTTATCTTCTTCCATTTCCGAATAAATTATTGATATAGTTACATTTTTCAACTCCTTTTTAGATATTTTCTTTGATAAAACATAACATAACTTTAATATAAACTCGAAGTTTGGCATAAATACTAGTATATTCTCTATAAAATAAAAAAAAAAATAAAATATTTATTTATTCAGTATGTATTGTGCTAAAATTTTTAAAAAATTAACAAAATTTTATATACAATAAGATATTATAGATATGTGGAATATCAAAACAATATTACAAATTGGAAAAATATATTATTTAGTAGACCAATTAATTAACTGAAGGATGAAGAATAATTTTAAAAAAACTATTCAAGATATTGCTGTGGTAAAGAGGTGGCAAGCGCTAATAAATGTAAACTATTAATTAAGCAGTGTTTTACATTACATTAGAGACAAATTTTTAAAAAACTAGATTTAATAAGTATAAGCTTTAACTGAACCCTAGAGACAGGAGTAAAAAGGTTCAGCAAAGAATGAAATTAAAATAAAATATATTATAATATTTTATATTATACTATAAGGATGAATTATATTCATCGATGTATGTCAAACAATTCTTATATTTTAATGAATAAGATCGTTGGGACAAGTTTTACGTATAGCTGACAATCACTAGCCTTTTATCTTAATGAATAAGATGGTTGGGACAAGTTTTATGTATAGCTGATGATGCGTATGCATAATGAAAATTTTAAAATATTTATGTATAGGATGTCATTGGTAAACAAAGAAGCTGAAGTGATATTTTCGAAAAGTATTTATTGATTATGAGTATTAGATGCATAAGGAAGTTTTGATTTATACCTATCTGTAATACTTTTAATAATATTAACCTATTTTAGTAAATATAAAAACCTACCTTGTGACCATTTGTCTTTGGAAAGAACACAAATCAGATTTGCTACTAATTCAATATCAAGAAACGCTGCATTTCCATCATTTATGATATTATCAATGGCACAAAATTCATTGAGCAGTTTTACGCAGCTAATGTTGTTTTCCATGAATGCAATTACAATAGCATTATTTCCATATCTATCTTTAATAAATGGATCTGCTCCCAGTTGTAATAATGTGCGAAGATGCATTACTTTATTTAGTTTTGCAGCAATAAAAACTGCTGTAAAACCGTGGAAAGAGTGTTTGTAATTTATTTGCATATTTTTACCGCATAAAACATATATAAGCTTTTTGAATATTTCGTCTGTGCCAAATTGAGCATAACTATCAAGCAAACTATCATTTATATTTAATTCTTCAGCAGGAAGAGTTTCTTTATTCAGTTCATTTTTTTCTATATCAAATATAATATTATTCGAAATAATCCTACGTACACAATCTATATATGCTATGTTTGTCGCTGAATACGAATTTTCTGGTGTTATTGCTAAAGTATATTCAACATTTAAAAAAGAAGCATAATCCATATTGTTTGACGAATTAGACAGCAATAGAATCCGTAATGAATTATTATATTTTCTTGCATCTTCAATTTGCATTAACAGCATGTCCATATATGCTTTCTTTAAATGTACATCATTAAAAACAATATGTGTTATATTTTTAAATGTACTAGAGAGTTTTCGACCCATTATGACCCTCAAAAAGAAGTCTGCAGTAGTATAAATTAAGTTCGAAAGATCGCTTATGCGATTTTGTAGGTAAACTTGGTAGCCGACAATTTGCCCAACATCTTGCCCAAAATAATTTGCAGCTTGTTCGCTTTTATGTTTTACAACAATTTCTTCGCTTTCAATGCATACAATTTTGCAGTATTCATTGTTTTGTGCGCAATTTTCTACTATATAAGCTGGTATGAATAAGGATTTATCATAGCAGGATTCGCTTTGTATTAATACTATATTATAATGCAATAACACATGAAGTATTTGACGACGATATTTATTCATATCCAACTTGTTAGAATTATGAAAATATTCTGGATTTAATTTGCTTTGTTGTACATAAATGTTCCTGGAACACAATGGCAGACTATGAGGGATTGCATTCAGAATTACCTTCCCAAACTCGAAATATTGACGAGGTGTTTGCAAACCTTTGAATTGTTGATTATGGTACAGAAAAAAAAATAATTCCTTAAAGTTTTTCTCCGTTGATTTGTATTTACATGATATGAAATGATGACAATTAGATTTAAATATATATATATTTCGTAATCCATTCGTAAGCTGAAAATTATATGTTTTCCCACCAAAAACAAGTGTACCAATTTCATTAATGGCGAACGTTTTATTAATGGCCATACAGCATTTCTTACTGTACCCAAATTTCAACAATTGTTCATTAACATAATATTTGGATAATTCAGAAAACATGTTTAATGAACTTAACACCGACTTCACAAACTATTTCACTGTATCGAAACGATCAGCGTCTATTCCTTAAACATAACCGCTAAAGGGAATTACAAAAATTTAATTAGATACACAAAAAAGATATTATTAGAGTTACCAGGTAGGCGTGAATAAGTTGGATTGTCCAGTTTGTTAAATCGTCTTCAAGAGTTAAAATTTTAAATTCTCTCTCCAGCAAAATTATGAAAATAATATCAAATGCTTTTATTTAAAAACTAATCTACAAAATTAATTAACGCAGTTAGCAAATTTTCTGTCTGTATAGCTTTAAGAAAAAAATTTCGTTTACCTCTATAGCTAAAATTAATCGTCTAATACCTGTGAAAAGTAATGCAATAGATTTTACAGGTTACAGTCTACAAATGTTCATTCTAATACCCTTATTAAGTTATCTAAAGAATAAATTTTTTTCATGCACATCTAAATTAACACTTATAATAGTTCTGTTCCATAAGTTACTCGTAGTAACTTTAATAACACTGTGTATACACAAGTGAATTCCACCAGAAAATTTCCAAGTAAATGAGAGCAACTGAGAGAACGTAACGTCCCTGCCGAAATTTGGAAATGCTACAGACTTTAATCGTACATTTTATTGCAAGTAACATTTGTGTCATGTGTGAATCAGCTGTTTTGGTTTGAATTAAAATTTTTGTATTGTTTATTTGCGCGGCACTTGTCTTCTCACCAGATTTTACACAAAGCTGTTTCATGAAAATCTGTGTAAAGCACGTAATTTGTTTATAACGCTATCTGTTTATACTTTATTTGTATTTTATTTGAGTTTGACTACAAGTAGCTCGTGGAACAGACCTAATATGTAATGTCTAGCAATTAATCTGGCTATCCTAGTTCTTATAAAATAATTGAACTCTTTGAAAGGAAATTAAACAAATTTTTGTAATTACGAACATGAGCTGATAATTTTATACACAAATAAAAATTTAAAGTAGGCAATATTACACACATCACAATTAGAGCACATTTAAATATATGTTATACAGATTTTGCTACATTTAGCATGTTATTCTATTATTAATCTATATATATTTTTAATGATTGAAATGAAATAATAAAAGATATAACGTTAAAATTTTATATACCATGTATATAACTAATTACGCGAAATTACACTAGTTTGGAACCGTTAGTAGAGCGTCTATTAAAACTATACTGTGAAGAGTTTTGTTTATTATTTCAACTGTCAATTGTTCTTCTTTCAGTGTAAAATGATAATTTATGACAACTAAAATTACAAACAAAACTTAATTATGTTGAACATTTTCCTAGTTAGTGCGTTTGGGCACTTTTACTCTTTGATAGCTAGGTAGTTTCTGCAGAGTCCCACCCTTCCCACTGACTAATTTATGTATTCAACAAAAGTATCGTGAATATTTGAAGACTGATCTAAGATCTGCGTACCGCCCGAGCGGCTAGAAATTATTCTGAAATCAGACAGTTCTAAGTAGGGTAGTCTGTCGATTTATGGCTCTGTCCCTTATGTATTTTTTGACCAGATCTATTCTATGGTCTTCCGTGTGAATTCAATATTACATATAAAGAAATGTTCAAAGTTTGTAACTTCTAATATGATATCATCGAAAATACAAGTTCTCTTTCTCTCTCTCTCTCTCTCTCTCAATAGATTATAATCTTTCTCTTCAGTTGTACTTGACAGCAATAATCGAATGCGGTAAAAATTCTTCAGGCTTAAGTTATTTGTTTATATTGTAATCACAGTTTGGCAGGATATTATTCGGGTTTTCTGGATAGAATGCAATAGTAAATGCTCTATTAACGATGAGTCGATGACGGAATATATTTCTTATCGGAGCATCGCTGTCCAAATAATTTAAGGTTCTTGAAATCAAAACATTTAGTATTCATTTGATGTAATAAATGTATATATGTTATTTGTTTATATTGTAATCACAGTTTGGCAGGATATTATTCGGGTTTTCTGGATAGAATGCAATAGTAAATGCTCTGTTGACGATGAGTCGATGACGGAATATATTTCTTATCGGAGCATCGCTGTCCAAATAATTTAAGGTTCTTGAAATCAAAACATTTAGTATTCATTTTATGTAATAAATGTATATATGTTTACATGACTATGTGGAAAAAAAAACAAATTTGTTTTACAGTAACAAACACTCACTTCTCACTTCGATTTATTGTGAACAATTGTGTATTTCTACGTATACCATATTCCTCATGAATACATTCAAATATATATTAAGCTATTTATATATAATAAGCATACATCAACAGATATTTGTCAAAACACATAGATGTTAATGTACACTTATTAATATATATTGCTTTGAATATAAATTTGTATATATTCATAAAATATGTATAAAATTTACAATCATTTTTGTACGCTATAGAATTAGAGTTTTCTTGTCATATACGGCTTGTTCAGGAAAGCAAGTTATTTTCTTTTGATGATTGATTTCTTCAACAATTATTTTGAAAAGATGTTATGTAAGCAAGTTTAATAGAACCGCTTCTTCTCTTTTAAGTAACGTATAAAAGTACATAGTGGCACCGGTGATAAGCAATCACACTCTTTTATAGGTTTTTTATTTGTGGCGACGTTACATTCAGAGAAACTTGGCCAAGGACTGTTCACTTTTCGGCATATTGTTTTATTACGTACAACTGTGCACGACACATTAGCAGCTACGGGTTTGCAACCACATACATGCATTTTAGGATTACATCCTTTAAAAGGCTTTATACATTGCATTAATCCCAGATTATTTGGTTTTACCATATTTAAACAGCTTTTTTTGCGAGGTTTACGCGGTCGTCTTTTTGGAGGAAGGTATTGTTCTTCTGGATAATAACACATTAATTTTGGCGTTCTTTCCAGACAATCAATCCAAGTTTGTTCATATAAACGATTATGTGGATTTGACGGCCTGTAGTATAGTTCATCATACCGTGGAGGTATAGGACAGCTGTCAACACAACAATCTGGAATTTCACCCCAAACTGACCTGATCCTTCGCTTTTTAAGTTCTTTTTCATATTGCTTTCTCTGCTTAATTGCTGTGAATAGTTCGCATACTGGTTTCTTTTTTATAACAGGAACACAGTCAATTTTGACTGGCCCACAGGTGTCACAGTGACCGAATTTTCTTAAAACACTTTTAACTAAATTTTCGCCCAAATTTAGTAAATTTTTGTTTCCAAGAGTCGAAATGACTTGGCGTTGCGCAAATAACTTAGCAATCTGAAACATTTTGCCCTTCAATTATACTTTAGTGTTTGTTACTGTAAAATTTTTATGATTTTAATTTTGCATAAAAATTTTGAATTTTAAAAATAGGACTAAAATTCAAATCAAATAATCTGACTAAAAATTTTACCTAAAAATTTATAATTTCATTTATTTGTATATATTCAATATTAAAAATTAGTGGTTGAAATCAAAGCTAATGAGATTGAAACTATTTGTTTCCTAATTGAAATTTATTTGAAACAAGTTTTTTTTGCAACATATATTTAATTTTTATAGACACCTAAACTAATTGGATAAATAATGGAAACCAGAATATTTAATCTCATTTAACACATTTGGAGAAAATAGAGTCCAAAGGCAATTCTTCAACTACCAATACACTATTAAAAACAATATGTTTTATACTATTTGTGAATTTATGGTAAATTTGCACTATACTTGCTCAAAAATGCAGAAACTAGGAATGTCAGAATCAGAATGCTAATGCCGCTTAGACAGATCCATTTTTTTGCATACTATATGTTAGTAAATATACTCTGGATAGCTTTACGCTTCAACGAGATTTTAATACATATTATACAAGTATTGTCAAAGATTTCATCGAGTTATTAAAGCAACTGTTGAATGACTATATTGTCTCCAGGAATGAATCAGTGGTGTTACCTTCTAAATTTTGTGATTTATCGCCAGTAAAGCATTTTACTGCGCCATTTGTGATCAAATTGCAGTCAATTTATTTTATTTCAATTTGATATGTTGCAGGTCTTTAAAACACGCTAAAAAGTCTAATTTGTATCCATTGTATGGACTTAAACGCTATTAACCGGCTTATTTTATTCAGAAATGATTTTAAACCGAAATCAGTTGCATATTAATCGTAGGTTGTTATTCCAAGATATACTTATTTTTTTTAAAGTAAAAAACCAATAACATAATTTTAAAAATACTAGCACTTTATGTTAGCTTTATGTATAAATATTATATTATAGTATATTTTATATTACATATATTTTATATATAATATATTGTATTTATTGTATTTATATTTATATTATATATTACATATTATATATTATATTATATTATGAATCATGGGCGTACACAGGTAGGGGCAGGGTAGGAGGCGCTCGCCCTCCCCCCTAGATTTCAAAATGTTTTTATTGTTTTGAATAAAAATTTAATACTGTTTACAAGAAAAGTTTAAAATTTGTCTTTTTTGTGAACAGGCAACGTGTTAACGACAAACATCACACATCACGTATTTGATGTTGACGTAATTTCTTATAATAATCACTGTTTATGTCTTGTCAAAATAATGGTATTTATACTAAGATTTTGTCATAATACTATATAATAAATTGTTAACATACAACTGAGTATATGATAGTGTTTCTTGTATTAATTGTTATGTTGTCTATTTCTGATAGTGTCTATTGCTTTAAAATAGAAACACAAATTGAATATTTTATTAATCTTCTTACTTAGTCAAATTTTGAAAAACACTTAAATCCCATTAAACAATTTTTATTCGCAGACAAAATTCGAAAAAATAAATATTTGCAAGCGAACACAAAAGTCTTGCCAAAGTCTAGTCAGCATAGACAGTTTCTACTAGACATCGAGTTATAATACTGCCGATATGTTTTATCCCAGAGATTTAAACTCACTCATAGTTAGGAAGTGGATGTTATCTACAGTGAGGGACTATTAGACAAACTCATTATATATTTCTTTTGATTTTATTTATTATGAAGACAAATATTTGATTGTTATTATTCCGAACATAATTTTCTGTAACTAAATTATTTATTTACTTAAAAGATTTTCATAAGTTCTGTTTTGAAATTTAATTTTCTAATCAAAACTCTAATATAAATATAGATACTAGTATGTATTTTAAAATAAAAATCCATGTTCTGCGTTCAGTACGTGATATAATTAAGCAATTTTTATTTTTCCGATTTATTGCTAAATCCATTGGTCTCATAATGCTGATTACTAATATATATAATATATTTTATATATTCTTCGACGTTTCGTTCATTCTGTATGAAGTATTTTGAACTACTTCATTCTGTTTATAATGGTGTAAAAGGTATGAAAATGCAAAACTTGTAGTTGCTACTATTAAATTCGAGAAAGGTGTACTATACTAGATAACATTTTTCATTACTTCACTCTTTAATGAAGTTCTCTTATTTTACACGATCTATTATGGCAAATTTTTTCCAATTTATTCTTGGCAGCATATGTATTGTAAAATAATCTATTTGCCATGGTTATTTTGATCTAATTGTCGCCCTATACGTGAAAATATAAAACATTAAGTACTTTTAATGTACCAATGTAAACTTTTCAATATAAACAATATATTTGGTAAGTTTTAAATCAGGGCAGTTATGGACTGTCATAGTCATATTTTGATGACAAGCCTTTACAATCTCTTTATTATGAAAGAACCCAAAATAAGTGTATAATGAAAATGATGATGCTCGGATATAGTCGCATATCTAACTTAGCATAAATATCGGCGATTACATGAAGCTTTCTTTCGGTTTCCATTAAATCAAAGAATTGATGTTAGTTAAGTAAATTACTAGATATGCTACAAAGTGATATTGCATTATTACCACTTAAAATAACAAATAAAAATTATTTTTGAACTGATATATGTATCGTACATCTAGATTTACTCTTCTTTAAGGACCTATGTAGTGGCTACTTAAAAATTAATTAGAGTGATCTGGAAGTTAAAAACACGTTTCCACTTCTAAATCATCTACGAACAAATTTAGAAAACTCAACACTTTCTTTCAGACAAAACCAACTTTTCTTTCACTATATTATAAGGACGCTAGTATTATGTATAGTAAATATTTTATAATTCTTCTATGTGTGAAGAATATTGTATTGAAGCATTTTATCGTTCCTACTCTATCATAAGTTTAGCTACTGCAATTTAGCAATCTCTCACGCAGAAAGACTTAAAACTACTTATATATTTTTTATTACTATGCTGTTAAAAGTTTGCGAAAATATAATTGAATTTAACATAATAATTAAAACAATTAAGCTTTAAGCAACAAAAATTATTTGTGCTTATTTTTGCACTTTATCACGTGCCACTAAACACAAGAACAGTCATATGGTTTTATACTTTTATTATCTTTAATTTAAAAATAGTTGCAGTTTATATGTGATCTATGACATATAAAAGTTGAAAAGTTGTTGTTTACAAGTCTACCAAAAATACAATATTTTTATTATATTATATTATTATTATTATCCAGTGAGACTTTCAATTAGACAACTTTTAATTAATTGAGTTATTAGTTTATATGAAAACGCATCGAACTATCAAACTAAATAAAGAAATGTTGAAAATATTCCTTTTTGAAATTTATATAATTTATTATATATTTAATATAATTTCGAAATTAATTAATAAATTATAGTAGAAAGAATGAATAATATATCTTTGTATTACACATTAAAATAAATAATATACCAGTCATGAATTAGTTGTTCTCAGTAATGTAAATAAAGATATATTTTGAAATATTATTCTATACTATATTATATTATCACGTATTACATATCCACCTACAAAAGATCATTTAGCATTATAGTAATTCAAAAATATATATTGTATTTAAGAACAGAAGTTAATATGACCAGATTATCTAAACGTACTATTAAAGTACTTAATTATATTAAGGTAATAAAATGATTAGTTTAGTTTGAGTTTGGAAGCACTCTCACAACATTTTAATATTAACGAGGCTTTAGATGTTTGTTACGCGACTTTTTATTAAATAGTACTTGAGACTATCATCTGCACAATGGAAATACATCGAACCACCTTTACTTTTAGTTACAAAAGTTGCATATCTTTGACATTTGCCTATGACATTATCATTCACAGCAACAATCACGCCATATTGTGTTCTCTTAGCCAAATGAAGAAACAGCCATATTATTTCTATAGTTATTGACATGAAGAAAAAATGTTCTCCCAGAGTCGTGCTTATCTAAATTGTGAAGGAGCTTATCTACTTTGAAACTAACATTAATTCGTGCAATAACACCAATATTGAGATCAAGCAAAAAATTACTCGTTCCAACAGTGGTAATGTATCGACAACAAACATATTAGTAGTAAGTTGATTTAAAAAATAATCATTAGTGATTGAAGTTTTTGAGAGACAAAATCCTCCACAAAATCTTCCGTGCTATCTGCATTAATAATACATATCGTTCTCAAAAAATATACAAGTTTTATTTCATAATATAAACGAAATTAAAAGAATAAAGAACCATAACCTCCACTAAATAGGTGAAATCGTGAAAATGGAGGATTATGCTCTATCCTAAAAAATATTGGAACAGAAACTGTCAAAGCTTAATATTTCTAATTAGTTTTAGAGCATGTATTACTAGGCTACTTAGATTAGATTGGATTTAAAAACGGTTTGGGAACTTGTCATCACATCATTGCATCCTTTAAGGATTATTGTAACATACCCACTTTAGTTCCATAGACGAGGAGTACTTAGAAAAGCCATTATGTCCTTTGGAGAAATATCGCCTAATTCCATTACAAGTGGATAGGCAGTTGATATGTATCGAAGTCTGAGTCCGGCGAAACTAACGCAGTGACACAGAATATGTTCTGCTGTTTCCTCCTTTTCGCAACAAAATCTGCAGCTATCGTCTCTTGTAATACCTAAATTCGATCGATGCTTTTTTACTGGGTGACTTACTTTTATATATCCCCATGAAAAGGGGAAAGTCAAAATAGTTTTTATTTTAAGAATGGTTCTTGGCAAAATCGAATAATCTCAATTTATTAGTGATCTATAAGTCTGTTAAACCTTCCTAAATGCAGTAGATTAATTAAATAACATCCTAAATAATATTCTAAGTTTGTTAAATAAATGCCAATAGGTATTCATTAAGCGAAAAGAAAATGCATGAATGCATTTTGTGTTTCTACAGTTTAATATCAACAATAACAACTGCACAAATATTTTTAACACTATATTAAAGCAAATTCTACTCTAATACTATCAGAATTTTAGCATTGCGTGAACAATTTAAATTTATTTTTTTCATGTTTCGATTCAAGAAATCAGTAAATATGTTTTATGCAATACAAATAGCACAAACTTTTTAAATGATGAAGTAACAAAAAGATGCACTTGGTAATTAAAGGAATTAGCACCAATTTCACAATCGTAATTTAAGTCTCAATACTGATTTAAGTCCTATTTACATCAACTTTGCTGATTGAATTCATACTTAAGTCAGTTTTAAGATATTACCTAAACATATTTAAGTCAGTTTTATTTAAAACATAGTAGATATTGTTTAATAAGTCGATATGACTGATAATTACATAGAAAATAATTTGACGGTGCGTACAAATACAATGAGAGTAAACAAAAAACACAACTATTTATTATTTTAACGCTATTAAATGTATTGTTATGTTTCAAAAAATAATTCTATATATTGTTCCAACATAAATAATCATAATTGTATGATTATAAGTTGTTATTTGTCGCCCTAATGAAGAAATCCAAAAACTTCAAAACATAGGCAACTTTATATAGAAAAGGACTATTCAAATAAAATTAAAATACAAAAACAGTTTTTTTTATTTGAAAACTTTACATTAAAAGCCTTTAGACAATAAACTCTAAACAACATAATTTTCTAAGAATAAAATAATATAAACACATTTAAATTTAAAATTCCTGCAGAAAACTCTTGTATTACATAGTTAAACGCTACTTTTAAAAAAATTTTACCTAGTTTTTGTTATAATAATCGTATTTTAATTGATACTTATTTGATAAAATAAGTTTTATTTGTTGATTTTGTTAGTTTCCCTGAAGATGACTATCAATGATAGTCGAAATATCGGAAAACATCTCAATAAAATATAATTTGTTTTGAATTTAAATAATAAATTATAGTTTTTTTTATTATTAGTTAAATGACCAATTAGCCCGCTCATAAATTATTATAAACTGTGTCTTGGCAACTCTACCTATGAATAGTACTTACTCACCACTAAATATGTGTGGTAGATATTAAAAGTCCTATTAAAAAATGAAAAGGTTTCGATTATTTATTTTTGTTTTTATTTTAAATATAAATACATATTGTTGTTTTAATTATACAAATAATTATGATGAATTAAAAATAATTGCATAATTATAAATTGTATGAGTTTACATATAAATAGCCTTTTGTTTTTTTATTATTTTTTTAGCAATAACAAAACATTTATATTATGCTTAATAATAAACAAAAATATAAATATTAGTTTTGTAAGAATAATAAGTGCGTTTCTCAAAAAAATCATACAAAGTATTAAAAAGAGTGTGACATATATTTTAGGTGAAATATATTTTGCGTACACGACGTGCGTGAACTGCACGTTGTTTTTAAAATTAAATAAATTATTTTTGTGTGACTAAATTATATAATATATGACGAGCTTCAATACGTTTTGTTTTAAACTACACATTTGAAAGTTTTGTTTACATTTGCGCACGTCAACCTTGAAAACACGAGAACAAAGTTCTTTTGAAGTCGGCAGATATCCACTTACAGTTAAACTATTAAATCCTCATAACCTGCATTAAAGTTTTAAATAAAATTATAAGTTAAAAATTTAGATGCCTACGCGTTTGGATAAATTGCCAAGCGATGCAATTCACACATCCTATTTATGAAATGACCATTGCTTTGTTAAATTTTAGTTAATTCAATGTTTTGGTGAAAATAAATGTTTGTTCTATTAAAAAAAAATTTCGTAGATGAGAATGTATTTATCCTAAAATTATCCATATTTTATAAAACATTTGCAGAATGCGTCACATACCGCTCGCGTACATAAATTCGAGTGTATGAATGTGTGTGTGCGCCTCATATCACCGCTTCTACTATCAATTGGCTTGACTTCACAATACGATTTGTATGCTAGAATTTTTAGTTGTAAATAGCATGAGATGCCGACAAAATGTATGACGAACGTACAAAAATGTGTTTCAATATTTCTTCATCCACTGTTTATTTATTTATTAATGAATTTTCGGTAATTATCATATGCTTAATTATTTGCAAATACATTTTATAGTTGTCTAACTATAACAAATTATTATAATTTAGATAAGATTTTTTATAAACCGAAAAAGGCGAATAATGAAAAACCATCATCAATATAATTAATTTAAAGTATATATACAGCAGAAAATAATTTTACATTACTCATGCGCTTATCAATTACTTCAGTTTACTGTTAAACATACAATTGGGAAGTTGTTTGGATGTTTTAAAGGAAAAGTGCCGAAAAGTAAGAAACCTTTTGTAATATTTATTAACTCAATAAAGATTTTGAATGGATCCAAAGAAATCTTGAACTAGTGAAAATGTTGTTTTCTGTTTTTGGAGAATACCATGAATATAAACTCTGTTTATATATATATGTGTGTGTGCGTGTTCTATTCCAATAAGAAATATTTATTCTTCGTACTCAAAGTAGAAGCAGCCAACCGCATACAAAACAAATAAATGGATATATTTTAAAAAGTACATGAAGTTACAAATTATAAGAACATCTTTGTGATTGTATATTCGTGTGACTATTCTAAATCTCTTTGAATATTTTTGAACTCATACTCAAATGAATATTCACCATACACTTCAATATCATATTTACGTATATTGTATGTGTTTTAATAATATTTAGCAGCGTGTGCGAAAATCTTTCTTTTAATTATTTTTGAAGCGAAATGTGTAAATGTTTTGGTTTCACTTGTAGCATAAAATATGTATGTTAGATGATATAATGTAAAATAAAAAATGGTATTTTGTAAACTACAGCTACTTCAAACTGATTTTAACAAATGCACTTTGTTGCAGCCAAGGCAGAGTTTCATATGTCATAACTTTCCATATGATTTACAAAATCTATTATATAAATAATATCAAAAAGCAAAATAGGTAGCACTAAAAAGGAAGAGAGTAATTCATCACTTTATCAAGAACTATTCTTAAATCAGCGCTATCTGTTACAAGTTCTATTAGCTGAAGTTATTTTAAATACAGTCAAACTTCTATAATTTGAACTAAATAGAATGCAACAGGGTTTAGAGAGCAAATTACATACAATTGCAAAAAAATTCTTTAACTCGAAGTCTCCACAAGTCGAACCTTTATTTGGCAAAATGGTACTTCGAGTTATGCAAGTTTGACTGTATTAGTAAAATCTGTTTACAGAAGTGGTAAAAATTTTTCACACTAATATAAAACTCTACAGTTAATATCTAAATTCTACACCAATTGCAATATAAAAGTTGTTTAAGTCTGGAATAGGTAGCATTAAAAGAAATAGAGTAACATATGACTTTATCAAGGTCTCTATTAAAATTGGTGCCGTTAGTAACTAAAAATCTAATAAATAAATTTATTTTTTAAATTATATTAGAAAAATGTGACAGTTTAACACGATTCAATAAGTATGAATAATTTCTCATACTGGTATTAATTTTTCTAATTTCTCTGCATATCGTTCATACATATATATATCATAAATTACTTATGATCGTAATGTTGCATTAGATAAGTTACTCTGAGAATAATTGAAATCTAAAAATATAAATGAAAAAAATGTGAAAGGTTTTGCATTTTTATTTCTCATAAAAATTAAATAATTATAACACAGAATTATTTAGTTATTTATTTAAATGTAACAGTGATATGTCAGTTATGGTAAAGTTCTATCAACGATTATATAATTTTTTTTCATTAATTTTCTCATATTTATTCTCCTTCGGCATTCAGTTTTTAAATGTTACATACATTCGATTAGGCAAATTATGGATTAAGTTTAAAAAGAGTTTTAAATAAGATTAATTATAAAATCATTGTTTTTCTTGCTTAACTTTTGAAACACAAGTTTAATTGCTCTTTGGTTGTGTATGTATAATTATACTGATTAATTTTTTTTTTTGAAAATTAATTGCTTTTACAGAATATTTATTTTTTATGTTACTCTTAATTAAATTATATTATTTTTGTATTGTAGTAATAATTGTGTGCAATTTCTTATAACAGCTCTATATCTCATACGAATACAACATTAATTTTAGTATATATAACAATACAAAAAGTATATAACTACTTAAAAATTCATTTGAACTTAATTATAGTTAAGTACATATTATTTATTGCGTGAAATAGAGAATTAGTATAGTAGAGATATTGATTAAAACCATTTAATTATTGAGTAATTTTGGGGTTTTGACCCATATAGCTGTTTCGGTAACTGCCAAATATCCATTATTACTGGTCTTTGAAATTCTTATTGTATAATGTGCCCTATTAAAAAA